AGGCTCCCACCCTCAGAGACGACTTCATTAGGGACAGGCCATGCCACCTGCTGATAGATGTCTTCTGCTACATGGCAACATGGCTGCTCTGTGATCAGAAGTATTGAAGCACATTGAAATATATGTATATATTTAGACATACTGTTTTTTTTTTCAAGACGGGGTTTCTCTGTGTAACAGTACAGGCTGTCCTGGAACTCACTCTATAGACTGGGCTGAGCTAGAATTCACAGAGATCTGCTTGTCTCTGCCTCCCGAGTGCTGGAATTAAAGGTGTAAATCACCACTGCCTGACTAGGTATACATATCACATGTATGTAAAGGCTGGAATAAAAAATGAGGATTATAATGGGAATGGGGACATAAATTTTGCATGGGAACCTGGCCAGGTCGTACCACCCAGATGCACCAACCATCAGTAGAGGTGAGCTGAAGCCGTATTTGATGACACTAAATTCTGAATGAGGAGACACATTGGACAAACTTCCATATTGTGGATTACATCAGACAAGTCACTGAAGAAGATCCAGCATCACCAAAGAAGGTAAACTTTCTTGCTCCAGGCTGTTTGGATACAAGGTACAGCTTCAATTTCTCCCCGGATGTCTGGAACTTCAGAAAGAGAATAAGCTATGGATACAAGAGTATTGTGTTTGGAATGTGAAATGAGCTCCACAGGCTCCTGTATTTCACGCTGTGGATCCTGGGACAGGGCTGTTCGTAGGTCTGGAGCCCAGGACTGTGAATTCCCTGCCTCGTGTCCTCCAGCTCTGTCTGCTGCTTCTCTGTCATCTCCCAGACAGCCTTCTGTGTGGATGGACCCCACCGCTTCTGCCACCTGCCACCTCTGGAACGTGACCTGCAGTTCTCCGACTCTGAGACAAAGCAGACCTTCCTCCCTCATGCTGTTTTGTCGGGTGTGTGGGTCACCACTCTCAGAAGTCACTAATGTCAGTGTGGTGTGTACATGGACGGAGCTGACAGAGGACTCGGGCCTTGACCACTGCCTCTGGTTTTCTGTAGGATTCCAACACTGACCTAACATGTGCTTTATTTTCTGCCCCTGGGATGCCATGCCTGCCTCTCTCCTCGTCTGCTGGGAAAGCTATCAGTATGGAAATTCCACAGGGGCTTTAACCAAGAGTCCAGTCAGGTGTCTACCTGAGTTTCTTCTCTGTGGCTGTGACAAAATGTCCTGCAAAGCCATGTAAGGCAGCCAGGGATTCTCTCAGGTCACAATTCAAGATTGCACTGCCCTCTAGTGGGGAGGTCCCAGTGGAACAGGCCTGAGAGAGCTGGTCCTGTGGCAAACACAGTCAGGGGTAAAACGAATTCATGTTCAACTACCCTTACATACTTTATGCAGTCCAGAATCCCATCCTTGGGAGGAGGGTCCTGCTTCCCATTAAGATGGTCCTTTGATGTCACTGATATATAACATAAAGAGATAAAGTCAACTAATCCAGATAATCTCTCATTGGGATTCTCAGGGAGCCCTCTCACACTCGGTTCTAAGTTCTGTCAGAAAACTAGAAAATTCATAATCGACACAAATGGTCAACAGGGTAGAGGGACAAACAAGTTGTCAGCAGCTCCATGGCCTGGCCCTGCTGGAATGAGAACAAGGACCAACTGTGGCTCTGCGACTTTCGAGGAAAGCAGTCGAGCAGATTTTTTTAATTTATTTTATTTATTTTTATGAGAGAAATTACAACAAGGAGAGACAGTTTATAATTAAAGTGGCAGTTGCCAATCACATTGGGTGAATTTCAATTCACTCTGATTGGCAGTGCAGGATAGGAAATAGACATCCTTATCTGTGTGAGGCAAGAGGATCTATACAAATGTTTATACTTCTGTTTTTACCAAGCTCATCCTGCACGGAGCTTTGCTAATAACAACAGTCTCCATCTGTCATGTGACTCTTGTGTGGGGTTTCCACCTCTTACTGCGGTGTGTTTATCTACACAGTGTTGGGCATCAGATGCCCTCAAGGAAAAGAGACAAAGCAGAAATGGCTGTGAGCTGCAGAAGTGTGTGGAGACTTTCAGAAGGGTAAAGGATCCAGGAGTCATTAGACCATAAAATCAGGAATTATATCAATATTTTCATGTGTGTTTTACATACTATTTTAAAGAAAAAGAGATTTCCTTTTTTTTTACAGTGTTTTTTTTTTGTTTGTTTGGGGTTTTTTTGTTTTTTTGTTTGTTTGTTTTTGTTTTTTACACAGTGTTGATGACTGTTTCCTACTAAAGTACAACTGAGCTCTTGCCACAGTGATCTTCTGTCTCCTGGGGAGGAAAAGGAGGAGCCCTCTGAGCTCCACAGACAAGGTTCGTTTGTCAGGCAGTGTCCAAAGCAAGGCCAAGAGTAAACACTTGATTGGAACTTGTGTCTCTTTTTCCCGTCATTCCCAGTAATCAGGAGGCTTAGATACATAAGGTCCCACCTTCTCTTCAAAAAGAGCTTCCTTATTAAGAAGAGCTATGGCATCATTTGCTGCAGCATCAATAAAGAGATTCTGCAGATAGTAAGACTTTTTGAAATAAAAGCCAGCAGAAATGGGACCACCAATAACTGAGGAAATAATCTGGATATATTTCCATAGTTTTCTCCCTAAAGACACATCGTCATCTTCTTCAAACAAATGGGGAAACCGAAGGTGCACCTTGAATGCAATCAGAGGCATGCGAAAATCTTTTGCAATCTCTTCCAGTGAGGCATCATCCAGCCCAAAGTAAGACCTGAATTGATTGAATGTTTCATCCAGATCCTCTAACTCATCCCTGATCAAGCCAACAAATGGAATGGTGGCCCATGCTCCAGCCTTCAGGGCCTCTAGGAAGACTTTCTGCTTCAGGGAATCTCTCTTGAGGTTAATGGTGGCCTCAGTAACACTGCTCAAGGACAGCATGAAGACATGGCGCTTGTGGGCTGGGAGATCAAATAGGAGTTTGCTTTCCAGTATTGGGAAGTCATGCTTAGACGTATCAAAGTTAGAGACTAAGAAGACTGGAGGCTCACTGGAGAGAGCCTCCTTGAGATGACGTGAACATTCTTCTAGAATATTCTTCAGGACTTTCTTCTCGTTGAAAGCTTTAGGTTTGCTCGTCTTTTCATTATATATGTCGCTGTCTATCTTGGCTCTGACAAAGTAGAAATTCATGTTCATCCTTGCGATGGCTTTGGCTAGCTGGGCATCATTTTCTTTGAAGCGTGAAGTAGAGATGATAATGAAGAAGTCATACTCACCAAACTTCATTTCTGTTAGGTACTTCTCTGGTGGAAAGGAAGTGGATCCAATGCCAGGCAGGTCCCATAGTGTCACCTGGGGAAGCTTTGGGTGTAGATAAGGAGTTCTCTCTGTGGTGGTTTCTGTCGCCCCAGTGCGGGCTGCTCCTTCTTCTTCATGCCCCACCCCTCTCAGGGCATTGATGAATGAGGACGTCCCCGACCCTGTCTCCCCTGTCACAGCAATGTTCAGGGAGGCATTCTCGATGTCGCTCAGTGCACTGTGGATTACAAAAAGTGCTTCCTGGAGGTTTCCGTTCTCAATGTGGGATTTAATCAAGGTAATGGTTTCTTCAGAGACGATTTGGCTTTCCCTCTTAAAATTCTTAAAGAATTCATCGATGCATGAGGCCCAAGCCATGACTCTTTATGGTAGAGGCTGAATGGAGCTGAGAGGAGAGAAATTATAATCATTAATTAAAGCAGGGAAAAAAATTGTTTTTTACTGGTTCATTAAAGTAGGACCCTGACCCTGACCCACATCAAAGCCGGCGTTGTCTGTCTTCTCTTCTCTTGGTTGCTGCTCTGGTTGCTGCTGCAATTGCTGCCCTGGATAGGAAGAAGACTTTTGCTCACACTCCTAGGAATTTTCTTGTACTTCTTTGTCTAATTCAGTCTCCACTTACTCTATGCAGTTACCCACTGCAGCCTTTATTATCATTTTTGAAGTTCCATTTAAATGCCTTTATTTTCATTAAAATGACACCCATACACATTATCAAACCTAAAAGGACATGAAAGAAGTAACATTTCTCCTGGCTGGGTCCTCAACTTCACCTGAACACTTCACTGAGTTGCCTGTGGGACCTCAAGTCTTCTGGTCTCTTTGGATAGTTATTCTTATGAGGACATGAGACCAGACAAGGGACTGGAAAGGCTGAACTGAAAAGAGATGTCCAACTAACTGTGGCTTCCCTTTCTTCTCTCAGCAGAGGCGGGGCTAGATGTCCATGGTCGAGAGACTCCTAAGTGAGGTACTCTGCTCCCTGGTGTTCAGATGCTCAGTTGGGTACGTCACTGTGCTGTGTTCTCTGGGGTGACTAGGTCAGAAATCAAGACAACTAAGAATCAGAGCATCCACACCAGGCATTGAGAGGGGCATCCTGAGAGATCTTTGACAAGCATCCTGAATAATGCTGACAGATTTGTGAGGTCATAAAATTTCTCAAAACCATGCTGGCTCAGACACTCCAGAAAAAAAAACATCAGGATCAAATTGGGGTAAGAGGAAAAACTATATAAAAAGATGACTTTTGGAATCCTCTCATTTCATATTTACTTAATTATACATATATACATGCCGTCTGTGTATATGTATATAGGTATTTGTATATTTATACACTTTGAATGACATTATGCCATTGGCTGATAATGCCTCCCCTCTGAGTCATAGGGTAAAAGAAACATCATTGTCAGACATGAGAAACTTCTCTCAAGCTGTGGTTCAGGGGAGCCCATGATACTCCTCAAACAGCACAGGCTCCTGCTGTTGCCCTTGCTTGAGCCCCAGAAGTTGAAGGGCGCTGTCCTGAAGACACAGCACATTCCAGATAAAGGACGCATAGCAATCAAGCTGCATCTGATCCATGGTCTCCTCTCCGAGGCCCAGCTTCCCTAAGATCAGAAGGAGCTGTGAGAGTTTCCAAGGGAGGAGAACATTCCTTAATCCTGCCCAGCTGGGACTCCCGTGAGCCACAGTGATGACCATAACACTGGGGTAACTAAAGGTGCAGGGGTGGCATTTGTGTGTTGGTGGTGACCCACACCTGTTTAATTGTGCATCACGCTGGCTGAAGAAGAAGAAAATCGTGCCTGGTAACTGAAAACCTAACCAACCACCGTGTGCTGCTAGTGAGGTCACAGATCTCAGAGGAGAATTCACTATGGTCACTTTCCTATCCCAGAATATTCCTAGCTGCTTTCCAAACCCTTTTCTTTATACCCACAGGTACACGGAGCTCTCTCTAACCACCAAAGATGCTCCTTTTCACAGCAGTGAGAGATCTCTTCAGAAAGACACAGCTGGTCACAAAGCAGAGAACAGCTGACTTTGCAGGGCCCAGCCTCGGTTGATAGCACAAGCCTTAACCTAAGAGAGAGAAAACACCGAGGAGGAGGGTGCAGACGGCACAAGAGTCAGAAGACCACACAGTCCGCTGCAAGGTTGAGTCTTCTGGATATGAACAAGATACCCATGGAACCTCAACACTATGGCCTTTTACACAAGACCTGAACACTGGCACCAACAGTTGACGTGCCAAAGTGAATGCGGGAAATTGCGTGGGTTGTCACACTTAGATGAAGAGGCACAAGTGGTAAAAAGCTGCCGAGAGGCAGAAGTAGTCTCAGCCAGAGAGGAGCTTCCTGGTTGATAATTCAATTCCAAATGTCCAGCCCTAATTCCTATCTGTCTGTCTCTTTATCTGACACTATCTATCTATCTATCTATCTATCTATCTATCTATCTATCTATCTATATATATATATATGTATATATATATTCTACTGATGTCTACCAGTATACCTATCTATACAAGCTGTGCTAAAAGCCGCAGGTTGAGTGTATGTATTTATTTGTTAGTACACTGTCACAATAATAAAGAGTTAGAGAGCACACATCTGAAAGGGAACAGGAGGTCTGGAAGGGACAGCAGGGAGGAGAGGGAGAAGGATGCTCTTATATTGTA